ACGCACCCGCACACATTTTCAGTGCGCTTCAAGGTCTGGTCTCACTCTTTTGTTTTCATCAATTTCATTAAATTTTACAAATTTTATATTTTTATAGTTTATTAATAAGTATTTATTCATTATTTAAAAATTTTATTCATTTTGATTATTTTTCAATGGAATTATTTTCATGCTCTTGCAAAATATTTGATTTAAAATCCTCGTGTTTGGCAACCATGATAAATTACTAATTCAAAAGTTACTGTAAAAAATAACAAAAAAATATAAAAACTAAATTTACAATTTGGTTTATTTTAAAAAATATTAAAAAATTAAAATTCAGTCTACATATGTAATTAGAAATCAACGTAATAATAAAAGTAAGTCTGAAATTTTGGTTGAAGACAAATTTAATGAAAGGATTACACACACTCAAGTCCTTAGGAATGACAGCAGATTTTTGCACGGTCTGTCACGCGATAAAAAATTCACATTGATAAATTTTAAACCTCTTTCGATCTGACCTTCAAAAATGTTGATCAGCTAATCTTGAAAGTTATTTAAAAATTCGTACTGCCAATCAATCGCGTGTGTATGTTAGCTGTCAGGACATGGAAAAAAAATCATATATAAATACATATGTGTGTGTGAATTACTTAAAAACACCTTAGTTTGCGATCTTATCTAATTAGATAGGAATTGCACAAAGCTGTTGTTTTAACTCGGGCTACTGGCGAGTCCCGTAAGAGATGAAACGCCTCTAGCCTAAAATGAGTTATGTGTTCCAAAATGCACCTTTGGTTGTGGTTAGAAGATGGAGTTCTTTATGTAGTCGTACTGGCTGATGTATCTGATGACAAATCAACTTATTTTCACCCATATTTATAAATATATATATGGTTAAGACTATACAATAGATACAATTGTTAAGAGATATCACTGCAGCTTCAGTAATCTGTAATTGAGTTAAATAAACAATGGAGGCTGATAAATAGCGGAGAAATGGCAATGGATAACAATGAACACATGAAAAATTAAATTTAAACAACGGTTATAGATGGTATCGTGAATTGTTTTGTAAAAAGAGGATCGACGCTAAAAATTTTTTTTAACTTTTTTACGTTTCGTTTTCGTTCTAATTTTTTTGATTACATTCCGTTTCAGTTTTTTGAAAAATTTTCGTTTTCGTATTCTTTTCGTTGTTTTAACGCATTCCTTTTCCGTTAACGAAATCCCACTAAGTAGGATCGCACCAGGTAATCAAGACATATATTCCTTAAAATCGCTCTTTCAAAATTATCATTCATATCCTCCGCTGCTAACATCTTCCAAATAATTTTCTAAATTTATGATTAATAAAAATATTTCAGTGGATGAGCGTACACGTCAACAACAACATCAACAACATTATAAACAACAACATCATCAGCAGCATCGACAGCATCAACAACAACAACATCAATCCCTCACTCAAACGACAAAACTCAACAGATCAGCGTCAGACCGATATCCCACGCATCACTTCTTCCATCTCATGCATCTTTCCTCTAATGATTCCATTAACGCGATCACAACAAGAAAAATAATATTGGCGAAAAGTTTCATAATAATAATAACAACAATAATCATAATATTGGGAACATATTTTATTTCAACTAAAAACATGCATTAATAAGATATAATAACAATGTATAAAAAGTGACAAGTGCAAAGTGCTAAGAAGCCACACATCGAATTATTGATACATGCTATTTTGTTTACAATAAATAAAGTACGAGGAAGAAATTACAGATAGAATTAAATTGTTTTTAAAAGAATCCGACCATAAAATATTTATTGTTAACAAATCGAATTTATTTAGAAAACCTATTGGAAATATTTCGCAAGATTGAATAGTTACTTCGCAATGTTTATAAAATTTTTTCAATAAGTTTTTCCGTCTGTTTGTTGGTCTTGTACAGTTTTGAGTTGGACAGGTTTGTCTTGCGGCAGACAGTAAGCTCCAGAATTTCAATAATGTCACCGTAAAAAAAACAGCCATACCTGGATGCAAGGTGTCAAACATGGCCGATATAGGACGTATTCCATCTACAATGAAGTCTGCAAAAATGAAACAAATTGATTTTGCTTACAGTCTCAAACAGCTGTCAAGCAATCCGCTAATTTTGTCATTTCAATTGTCATTTCAACACATTTCAATTGTTCTGCCTAGTGTTGCGATTGCGCGCAAATGTATAGAAACATAAAACCAGGATGAGTAGTGTGCAAAAGTGAAAAGAAGAAAAAAAGTGTATCTCTTTAGATAGGCTGGATACGTGTTTCGTCTCTACCTGGGACTCATCAATAGTCCGAATATCAGAACCATATCGCAGTGTTTTCTTTATATAGCCCCACAAATTACTTCGTTAATTTGTGGTGTTTTTTTTAATTATTTTGAGAATCGTTAGTTTTAATCGTTAGGATTTGCGATCTGACACTAGCATAGCAGAGAGGGTACAATTGCTTAGTCGTTATGTCCCATCTATAGAGATTGGTGTTGGTGGCAACTACTTGTTCAACTATTTTCTGGTTTCAATAATAATAATAACAATAACAATGAAAATAATAATAAAATAATAATAATAATAATAACAACAATAATAATGAAAATATCGTTGTTTTTAAACTATTCACAGCAGTGGTGCTTTGATTAATATTAAAGTAGGTATTATTGAGAGCCATATAATCATTTAACCTCTTTTAATTTACGAATTATAAACATTTGATTGATAGCTTTGGTGTCTCTAGGTATTCCATGCATGGCATCTCAGCAAAATGAGTTTTTGGATTTTTTATCAACCGTTTAAAAATATAAAAATTGTTTTCTACTTTCAAAACGTGTTTGTATTATTAGATCGCCATCGTGACACAAACCGCTACAAGTAAATAAATTTTTAATCTCATCTATCCGGAATTCCAGATGCAATCAGCAACAATCCCACTGGATAAGCAGATACTTCTGTGTGTAGATGGTCACGTAGATAAGTGGGATGTTGTTGGTTGGTTGGTTGGTGGAATGTGCATATATATGTGTATCGGACGTGAAAGTTTAGATAAACTTCTCAAATTTTAATTTTGTTAATTATAAGGTAATTAAGTTGTGGACAAATAATTGAAGTTAAAAGATCTGCAGATGTCAACATCACATCACATAAAAGACCAACACTCACTGCTGATATCAAGGGAAGTATTAAATTCATTTTAAGTACTTCAATAATTTTATGTATTATTAATTTATGTTTATTATTTGTAATAATTATGGAATTGAAATTTTGTATGAAGACACGGCAACGATGCAATCAACAACTCGCGTGTTGGTCAAATATTTTCATTTTAATGTTTCCAATGGGAGTACTTTGTTGAATGAAAACACTTTTTATTTCGTGATCGTTCAAATTTGTTTTGATTGTTTCTATTGCAGAGAATTTGCTTACAATTAAAGATTCTGCACGTTCATGTGTTATGCTATGCCAGGCCTCCACATTCTGTCGCTCAAAAAACAGACTTTGTTCAAAATGTAAGAGGAAGTAATTTCACTGTAAAGAACAGCGCGCATATGTCCAACCTCAACAACGCTAATCAATATCCTCTCTTCATGTTTTCCATTTGATCAGCACCTCGTTGTTCGTTTTGTACATTCGCCTGTAATCTTCAATGGGATGTTCAACTTTTAAGAATTCTCTGCGGCATCTGTCTGTCCTCCAGGTCTTGTAAACTCCAGAAATAATTACATGCTGGAACTTTTTTGAATTGATTTTGAATTTGGAATTTGACTACGGTATAATTGGGATTGTTTGAGATGATGGTTGTTTAACGAGCGACTTTGTGTTTGTTGTGTGGTGATAAGATCATTTGTACGCGCGGAATATCTTGTAAAAGTTTGCCAAACATTTTATGCGCATTTTTATCACAATCATCATAATAAAGGTTGCAGATATTTTTCGTCAGAGGGCTTTTCTGTTTATTCAATATTAGTTTATTAGTTTTTTTAGTTTATAATTTTTATTTGTTCCTCTCAAGCATTCAAAACAAATAATTAGTTGATTG